GATTTCATTAGAAAAACCAATTATTTTTCTGCAAAATAACATTAAAACGGGTTTAAAAATATTGAATGCCTGGATTTTCTTGAGAGTATGAAGTCGGGTAGTCAAAAAGGGCTAACTCGATGATGCGGTTTAGACACCTTAGCTAAAGAAAACCTATCTTTGTGTCAATAGATAAAAGATAAAGAAAAAAAAGTTTGATATTTCGCCAAAATTTCAGAGAAATTCATTCAGCCAATTTTTCCGTAGAGTTTTTTATAGATTTTTACGAAAAAGGCGTTTTTCACTCTCGAATTTGCTTGAAAGTCAACCGAAATTCATTTAAAAGATGCAAATTGAACAAACCTTTTTTTTATAGAGCAAACTATAGATTAATTGGTGAATTTGTTACTTTTTAACAGAAGTACGAAAAAATGAAAAAGACTTTTGCATCAACCTAATATATATGCTTTATTCAGTTGAATAGTGACAAAACAAGATTACAATAATCACCCAGGAAACACACCCAAAAGGTAAAAAGATACCTCAAGAAAGAATCACAGAGAAGTCAAATCTATTCCCGAAATTGCGGCTTTAAATCTGGCAAAAGGTGGGAATATCACGATTTGGTTCCTTTTCTCTACAAATTTGGTTCCTTTTCGGTACAGATTTGGTAAAAGGGGTAAAAGGGTCCACAAGTTAATAACTCGATTAAAAAAGAAACTGTGCAAGCTTTTAGAAGAAACGGAAAGTTGGCGTATGAGAAAAGGGGGCCTTCTGGAGGCGCCCCGTATAGCGCCGAATTCAAAGAGGCTAGAAAAAAGGGGGTCGGGATGAATGCCTTTAACAATTTTAAAGCATTCCACTAAATCGATGATAAGGCGGTGTTGGTGTAACGTTTCTATTGCCTCTATTGGCTATCTATTGCCGAAATTGCGGCTTTAAATCTAGCCAAGGTGGGAATATCACGATTTGGTTCCTTATCGCTACAGATTTGTTTCCTTTTCTCTACAGATTTGGTTCCTTTTCGGTATCGGGATGAATGCCTTTAACAATTTTAAAGCATTCCACTAAATCGATGATAAGGCGGTGTTGGTGTATTTTTTTGAATAAGATTTAACAGGGAAGGAGACTAAATTTTAAAGCATTCCACTAAACCGAACTTGTTTGAAAGTTGAATCAATGGGATAGATAGTAGTAGAATCAATAGTAGATTGAAACATATGCATTAATTTTGAATATTATTTAATATTTAATATTAATAATATAGTATTCAATGATTTCAAGCGTCTTACTTGCACAATTGCGCAAAAGTTGTCGCCAACTTCGGCACATTTCGGGTTATTGTCGGTGCTTTTTGTCATATAGCTCAACATGTCACAGAAACTAAAAGCTATTTGTGCATCAGAAATGGTTTGTTTACATTTCGAGCACAAAGCACAACCAGCAAAGTACAACGAAAAATGAAACCTCTGATCACATTGCTCTTTCGTATGGGTTTTCTTGAGCACGGCTCCGTAGCACAAATCGTGAATGAAACAGATGCGTTGATAGTGTTCTGAAAAGGGGTTTTTTGAATTCGAATTTCGAATTTTTGAATCTGATTCTAAATCTTGAATAGTTTTATGAAATTTTACAAAATTTTGACTAACCTCGATGTTGCGGACAATTCCTATAGATCATTTTCTTTGCCACAATCAACGTCAACGGGATTTTCTCGGTTCCACATTGCTCTTTGTCTTCGGAAATCTATAAAGAGCATGTTCTAAGCGAAAAAACTTAGAAAAATGTAAACTTTCAACGTTTTTTTTGAAACTTAAACTTCGAAATTTAAACTCACAAAACCGATGAGATTTTGCAGCACATTTCTGCCTAAATTTTTCTAGACATAGCTCGATTAGTTCAATCTTACGTTCAGAGCACGTCTCGATGATACTCTCGAAGATCTTTCGATACAATGAGAACTAAATTCTTTACTTATTTTACTAACTGCCCTTAATAGATGTTGATGAAGATAAATTTTGAGAAATTTTTCAACTTTGTATCACGATGGTGCAATTTCAGAAGTATCTCGTAATCTTAAAAACACTGGCCTTTATGCCCTGTCTCACTAGAGTCCTGTCTAGAGTCCTGTCTCACTAGAGTCCTGTCTAGAGTCCTGTCTCACTAGAGTCCTGTCTCACTAGAGTCCAGTCTAGAGTCCCGTCTCACTAGAGTACTACTAGGTTTAGAGCTCATTTTGTACAAGTTTAATGCTAAAAAGAAAGCGCACTTATCAATACGCCCAACGCTAACAACTTTAAGTTAGTTTTTTTCAAAATTATTGCCTTTTGGCGCTGTTGCTTGTCTAGAAAAACCTGTGGAAAGCGCCTACTATGAAATAAATTGAGTTTCTCACAAACTCTCGCTTGCTTTTGTTTCACAAGCTTTCTTAGAAGAATCAAAACTGAACTTTTGAAAGAACTGTAATGTGATTTTGATATTTTTAAATGTCAAAACTGATTCGAGGCTTCGAAAACTGTTAAATGGTGAAGACGTTCTCATCGCTAAACAACAACAGACTGACAACTGACAACAATAATGGGTCTGACTCCTTTTGGGGAAATTTGGTGAGTTCCAATGAGTCGATTTTGGAATATCAAATTTAGTAAACTGTCAAAATAATCTAGAAAATCGTGTTTTTTCCAACTTCTCTGCAGTGTGATTGACGATTTTTTGTCATAAACAAATTTTGAGAGCGCTAAACGACCTCGAAAGTTCCCATAAATATTGAAAACCCTGAGAAACTAAGTGAAAAGTGTCAAGAGCTTTGGTTTTTATTGCAAAGTACAACGAAATTTAGTTATTAAAGTAATTTCAGACTTATTATAGCAAGACATAACATAAATGGATTGAATTTAGGATCATTTCCGAGTTTACTAGGCTCAAGACAAGACAAGGCAGACAAGACAAGTATAATTGCAGAAAAACAATTGCATGTAGAAGAGTAGTAGAAGTAACTTGTTAAGTAATTTGTTACTTCTACTCTTCTACATGCAATTGTTGTTCTGCAATTGTTGTTCTGCAATTGTTGTTCTGCAATTGTAGTTCTGCAATTGTAGTTCTGCAATTGTTGTTCTTCAGAAAATTTTACCCTTGGATAGTAGATCAAATAATCGAGCTCATGCAGATTGCACTCATCGCCTCTTCCAAAATGAAAGAGCAAGGAAATTTTCAAAACAAGAGTCAAGTTTACAAGCATTTGTTTGGACAAAGTTGTAGAAAGATGGGAATTGGCAAATCGTCTTTAGTTGGCTTTCTTTCAAGGCTTTTCTTCTTTAGTTGAATACTAATTTTGTGTAGCTGTTGAATAATGTTGCGATTTTCTTTGATATTTCCTTCAGTAAACAAAATTTATCGGATAAAACATGGGAAAACCTTGTACAAAACAAAAAGGAATGTTTTGAAAAAACCCAAAAATGATACGAAATTCAAAATGGAAACTCAACGAGATGACCCATCTCCGAAAAATGAAGAAAAAGAACCGTGGATTTGAACTAACAAACGAAATTTACATTAAAAGATGAAATTTGCTTTGATTGAAATGAAATTTAGGGGAAAATACTTTCAAAGTATGCTTTTAAACGTTAGAACTTTGATTTCAATATGAATTACGATTGACTAAATGAATTTTCTGGGCTAGGAATCTGCAAATTCAGGGTTTTGGCAAACGAAAGCTTTCAAACGTTAGAACTTTGATGAAAAATAAAATAAACTCATTCAAATAAGTTATCTAGATATGTTTTTAGTTATTTAATTGTATTTGCGGATTCCCATCCACTGTAAAAACTGTATCAAATTTCCTTTAGTGTTAGTCATTTTTGGCAATACTCTCACAGGTAGCGCCCGACCCGCACAAACGAAAAAAAGAACGAAAAAAACAAAGGGAGAACACAGAAAGAGTTCTTTGAAATAGAGAACGTTTGGTATTTTTGAAATTTAGAATATAGCATATAGAATATATAAACTATATACATATTTCTATATTTCACTTTTTAGCTTTACGAAATTTTCCCATGTAAACTACCCGATTTCTGGTGGATCTGGCGCACCTGGCGCAGTGAACTCGATTCACTTTGGCTTTAATTCTTTAGCTTTTTCATTGATTTTAAATTTACGGTAAAAAAAACACCAATCTTTTGTCTGGTTTACTGTACTACAGTTTACCTACAGTATTCAAAATTCAAAATTTCAAAAGTACTAGAATGTGCCAAAATGAAAGTACAGGGCAAAATTGGGCAAAATTATCCGGAAAACTTTTTGGAAAAGTAGTTGTCGCAGCTTAATCTATTTCAAAGTATAAAGTGTTATATATAGAATTGTAGCCCTTAATCTTGGCTACATTTATCTACTAAAAACTTCTCGATCGGATGTATACAGCTCATTTAACAAGCGCCTAAAGGAGCACTAGTCGATCCCTATCCATCTGCCATTTTTGACGATTTTCTCTTTATATTAGCTGTTACAGCGCTATAAAATTGTTGAAAATAATTTTTTAAACAAAATGCGACACAAAGTTTACTCGATAGTCCTTTTTAGATAAAATTTATATAGAAAATCGTCAAAAGTGAAAGCGCGTCGAATAGGGATCGACTAGTGCTCCTTCAGGCGCTTGTTAAATGAGCTGTATACATCCGATCGAGAAGTTTTTAGTAGATAAATGTAGCCAAGATTAAGGGCTACAATTCTATATATAACACTTTATACTTTGAAATAGATTAAGCTGCGACAACTACTTTTCCAAAAAGTTTTCCGGATAATTTTGCCGAACCCTGTCAAGATGCAACTTCAAGGCCATTTCAATTTCGCAAATTGAAAGTAAAACATCAAGACTGATTATCTGATAACTTAATTTTGGCTTACTGTAGTAAAAGGGGGATTGAAACCCCTTTTGAGGGGTCAAAGGTAACTTTTAACCATTCCCAAAACTCTTCCTGTGTTCAACTCTTGAAGTTATCACTCAAAAATAGCAACACTTGAAGTTAATCAAATGTCACAGCTGCGAGACGAGGGAAATTCCCCCTTGGTGAGCTGCACACCTCAGTGCATCGACCATTCAAACTATTGTTTCGTGAGGTCGGTTGTGGGCAGCTGATGTCATTCTGAAAATAATTAGTGAAAGACGAATCTAGGCAATTCGCTTGTGTTAGAGCTACGTAGGAAAGCGGCTATTCATCTTCGAGGATCCTCTCGAATTCAATTGTGGGAGAGGCTAAATCAAAAGAAACACTGCTACTACTGACATTTGTTGAATCGGAGGTGGTTTGACGAGCGAGATTTTTACGGGAATTCATTCGATGCACACGCAGAGCCGAGTAGTAACCATCGCGAACCGAGGAGAAGATTAGGGAGACGAGTTGAGACCAAGCACCCACTGTGTCGGCTGGCTGAAAGTTTTGGGTTAGATAGGTTTCTCGTTAGATTAGTTTAAATCAATTTCTTGTTCAGTTTTTGTAACACTTACCCTATATTGTCAAAACATTTTGAGATCAAAAACATAAAAATTGGTCCACCCAGAAAAAAAAACTAGATTTTGAAGTTTAAAAAGAAGATTTAGGGGTCTTCAAAGAACGGTAAATACTGCATGAATTGTATTCTATATGGATTAAACAATAAATGCAAAAAGAAATCAAAAAAAAATATTACTCGGTCACAAAGCTGGGAATCGAACCCGAGCCCTTCCTCTGAGAGCCAGCGCTGAGACTTAGAGCCAGCGCCTTGGTCCACTCGGCCATGCGTCCCAACGATTCACCCAGCGTTTCCGGCCATTAAATGCTACTCCTTTTTTCTGCGTGAACCAATTTTTATGTTTTTGGTCTCAAAATTTTTCGACAATATAGGGGCATAAAAATTAATGGCAAAAAAACCGCGATTCTTCATAATTTTTCAAACATTTTGTTCTAAGCGCTGGTTAATGCTAAGGATATTTATTAGATTTCAAAAATCACCCATCTTCTCTACTTTAATTTGATACCAAAGCGCGTATAAACAAATGTCTGGCCACCGAGATATGAGCGTTTGTTTGAGGGTAAACTTGGACTACGCGACGCTCCTATAAGAGGCCGTTCTATTAGGGTAATTTCTCGTTTTTATTTAAATTTATCTCGCTTTAAACCATTTATTTGTGAGATTTAATACTGGATTAACAGTAAAACCCTAATTCCCGCAGTTCCAGTACGGTTTAGCAGCTTCCCAACCGTAAATTCGAAAATACACCTAAGCTACCGTACTCGAGACGGCGTCTCCCTTTTTTGCGTATAAAATGAAGCCCCATTTCTTCAAAAATTCATTTTTTTAAGGATTTTCGATCTGTTTGGCGCTTTTCCATTGTGGCAAATCATTTAGAATTAGTGTTTTTGGGTTAAAAGAGTTAGTAGTTTGAGTAAAATTTCGACCCAGAATTTGGATGTTTGAACCGTAACACTTAGTTAGGCTTGGAATCTAGTCAAAATTTTACTACTACTAGCAAGCCCAATTACCTGATGATTCGCCATATCAAGGATCACTCCTTCAACGGTCATCGCATCAGCCAAGGCCACCCAGAAATCAGGCTTGAATCCCATCGTTTTCAACTCGACATGATCCTCGCCGTACGCTCGAGACACGGCCACAATGTGATCAACATCATCTATCTAAAACTCTTTAAATTTCTTTAAATTAAGTCTTATTTTTACCCTCGAGACAATATTCTCCACCAAATCTTTCAACTTTTGCGTCATTTGATAGGCTTTCTCTTTGCCCATTTGATAGACGTAGTTCTGGTAGTCGGGTCGTTTCTCGAAAACTCGTTGGCAAACCTAAAATTTCAAAGATTTAAACCAGTATTTCAAAATCTTTATAGAGTTAGGATTTTATCCCATTTTGAAGATCTTATTCGTTGTTCGTATTTTGTTCTCTCCCGTTTTCCGGTTTCCCAGTTTTCCTGAGTTACTCCCCACAAATCTCGTTTACCCTTTTCAACAACCCGTTTGTTTATCTCATATTTTGCTGTTCCACTTAAAGTTTTCCTTGAAATTGAGTGTCCACAGCTTTATTGAGTGAACATTGATGTCAAAGAGTGAAAAGAGGGGGGAAAGCTTTTGATGAACGCCCATCTTATCGTCATTGCTTTAGGCAAACGATAGCCCTTCTCGAGAAGTGGGGAAAACGGGAGGAGAATGGGGAGGAAACAGAGAAGAACAGCCGTCCCCCCGCACTCTCAACTCCCTTTAGTCGATAACCTCTACCTTGGCAATCATGGATTTGAAGGGAGGGAAATATCCAGATAAATCCCAGACGATAGTTGAAACCGAACAGTAAAAAAAATAGTGAGCAGACCCGGAAAAAGACCAAGGGGAATTCCTTGCTCACGGATTTTTCGCATGGTGATTGATGAAGAACGGATGAGAGGCCGAAAATTGTTTGCAAAGAGATCAGCTTGTACTTTGTTTGTCAGATTACTGGCTAAATTGAACTTTATGGTCCAAAAGGTCAAAATAAAATAAATTTTTTGGTTTAAAAATTTTTCCCCATCATTAGTTTTGGGTTTTTTTGTGCATAACTAGGCATAGTAAAGCATAAAAATTGGTTTTGAATGTATTTTGGCTCTGAACCGAGTTCAATTTAGTCGGATTACTAACGAAATACCTGTAATAGTAGCGCCTTCCCATAATGATGGTCGGAGCGTCGCGTAGTCTAACCTTAAACGCATTTTTCTCGCCACCCGTTTATGCTACAGTGTGCGCTTAAGTATCAAATGAAAGCTGAAATTCAGGGCTATTTTTTGATACTAAAAATGCATGTTTAGAAATTATGCGCGCTTAGAAAAAATGATTTCGACTACGCGACTGTACGGGGGGGGACGCTACTATTACAGATATTACCGTATAGGTATGTAGCAAGTAATGGTCATATTGATTGTTTGTTATTATTTGAATCAAATAAGGTTATGGTTGGTCAAAAACGATTGCTTTCTTGAGCTTGAGCTTGTGCTGAAAGCTGTAAAGCTTTCAAAGTTAGAAGTTGGCTGCTGTAGATAGCTTTTGTAAGCTATAGGACTTTCTAAAAGCCATGAACTCGTGAAAATCGATAGAGGTGTGATAATAATTCTTACAGAGAGAAAAAAAGCGGCAAAAGAGGTGTTGCTGGAAATCAATAAGTGTGCCGTTGACATGTTTGCGAAAGGTCAAAGTGAAATCACAATGTGGTTTTGCGATTCGTTTAGTTACCAATTTAGAACTTAAACTCTGTTCCACCAGCCAAGATTAGCAAAATTATGCTGAAACCAGCGGAAAACGCTCACTAACGTTTGCGTTTTCCACGCAATCCGCCTTTTTTTGCCGATGGCTCCGCACAGACGGACGGACAGACGTCTCTTTTGCTTTATATATAGTAGATCATTATAAGTTTTCCAATTCAAACAGTACTTCTTTTAAACTCGACTCCACAAATTCCAAATTCGTCCAAATGGAGAAGCCCCATTATAGCAGAAAAAATTGCCCTACTCGCTTCCATTTCTCATCTCCAATTTCCTGGATACCATCTCTTTTCTCGTCAAAAAAAATTTCTTGTCAGCTTTTCATGAAAAATTCTCGTGTGCCCCCCTGGTCCTCTTTGTAATGTTTGTTCTCTATGGGGGTCGAGGCATGAGTTGTCCGCTCTCTCACCCAATGGGTTGCCCCGGCTGTCCCCCTCTGCTCTCCTCTCATTCCTCAATCTCTCATCGCCTTAAACGCTGTGCATCCCACAGCGGGATGCTTTCAGCGGGATGCCCAGCACCCGCCCGCGATGCCCCGCGCAAAATTTTGTGTAATTTTGGGCCTAACAACCGCCTGCAGCATTTGAATTTCATGAATTTCTTATCTTTTCCGCCGTGAAATGCTCTCAAATTTTTTGTGACACAAAATGCGGTTTGTTTACCGCAGAAAATTCTATTTTATCGATTGCGTTCGAAATTTACAGTCAATGTTTTTGTAAACAAGCGCAAAATTGAAAGTTAACGTTTTAAAAGCTGCTCCTCAACTACCGTAAGCAATTATTGTCGAAAATTTTCCCTTGATTAATTCATTTGTGAAATTTCGCTCACATTTTCGAAAGCTTAGACGTTTTTTTTATTCTAAAGCGCTTTCTTTTTTAAAAAGTTTATATATTTTCTTGATAAATTGATATTGATGATAGATAAATTGATAGATTAGAGCAAAACATTAGATTTTCTAGAAGTCTTTTTGTCTTATGAAAGAAAATTTTCTTTTGCGTAAAAACATCTCTAAATCAGCCAAATTTCATCCCGATTAACAACTTTTGATAGCTCTGAAGCGTTTTGCTCTAGTATTTTATTGTTTTATTGTTCCTTTTTTTAAAGATGTCGAGTTTATATTAACTGTTCTTTTTAGAGTCTTTGACGAAAGCAAAGATGACTGACCGAAAAGCCGTAATCAAGAATGCCGACATGAGCGAGGATATGCAACAAGATGCCATAGATTGTGCCACTCAAGCACTTGAGAAGTGAGTTTTGTTTTGGAGACTGGTTTTTTCTAAGCAAATCCTTAGATGCATTACATATTCGTTAAAGGATGTCTTTAAATAATAGTTTTTAATCGCTCGTAGCTCTTAAAGCTCTTAAAATATGTATTTATCTCGGATTGGTCGTAGTTAAAGTTAAGGTTTTGTGACAGGAATCTTTTCAACTAAACTTAATTTAAGTAAATGTCTGTTTTCTTGATGACATTTTACTTTTTAGATACAACATCGAGAAGGACATTGCTGCCTACATCAAGAAGGAATTCGACAAAAAGTACAACCCAACATGGCATTGCATTGTCGGACGAAACTTTGGATCGTAAGTTTAAACTATTTTACCTCTAATGACAAAAGTGAGAAACTCATTCTAAATTTAAGTTTTCTTTTTTATACTAAAATGTTTCATGTTAATAATAATAAAGGACTGAACAATGCCTAAAATAACTTTGTTTTTTAGTTATGTGACACACGAAACGAAGCACTTCATCTACTTCTACCTTGGCCAAGTTGCAATCCTCCTTTTCAAGAGCGGTTAAACGGATGGAAGTGCCCAGTTTATACGTGTATATAATTATCTCCAGAGCGTGTACGTTTTGTTGAACCATTTCATTATTTTAATAAAAGTTGATATTTTAAAAATGAAACGGCAAAACGTGAAAGAATTCACTATGAAGTTGACTAATTAAATTTGTTAGCATTGATAATGGTAAAAGATGCTTACCTTATTTCCAAATTCGGAGTGTGGATTGTCGAAACATTGTACAATGATTTCACGTCCCGAAGCCGCGATTGGATGTGAAATGTCTCGTCGTATTGACTTTTGTCGTGGATAGCCGTTACTGAAAATCAGTTATTAATACTATTACATCGTTCTTTTCTGGCTAAACATATCCAATCGATTGCGTAACTAAATTCACACATTCTCCGCAAAAAATGTTTCCTAGGATTGAGGAGGCGAAATTGCGTATATTGAATTTTCTTCTAGCCGCATCTCTGAAGAGAAGCCGGATGATATGAAGAGCTCGATGAAGTCTTAGGTTCCGTGTTTGTGAAATAAGCGTTCCGGGAAAGGCTTTAGTTTTAAAATGAAACTTAAACTTAGATTTAGAAATTTGGGATGGCTCAAACGGAAATCAAACGGGGGAGATTTTCACACAGCAAGTGACAAGACGCTGAAAAGGCCGGGGGTTTTACCTTTGCATTTTGTTGCTAGTTGATTGCCGTCTTAATGGCGGTCTAAAAAAGAGATAGTGCTAGAAAAGAAGCAAACGGAACAGTGACATTGATGGGTTTCGTATTTACCTTGTTTTAGGAGCTAATGAGTCGTTCCTTTTGATTGCAGATTCCGATCTCCTTACGCTTGTTCCGCCGACTTTGCCAGGCTTCGTAATACCATTTGCTGGCGTTATCGTGCCTGAATAGGTTAGATTTTGAAGGCACTAAACTAAATATAAAGTCAGCTACTCGTTCAGTGCTCAGGTACCGCAGTAAGCCTTCTAGCAAGTTCTAATTTGCCAACCTTTCCGTTCTCGATCCAACATTGGCATCGATTGTGATTTGCTGAAATCCCTGTCCACATTTGTGACATCAGTTGAGGGTCTTTCTTTCAACTTTCTACTCGAGGCACTGCCTCCATCTGACGCTCTCCGATGTCGAGAGCTAGCTAGGCCCATTTTGTGGACCTTAAATGTTCATAGTTACTTATTTTTTATAGTTATTTATTGTTAGAAAACAAAAAAAAAGAAAATGTTGCTTGATAATTAAAAAACTTGTTCCTTTTGGAACATTTTGTGATAATAGCTCTTGAATTGAGTTCAGAAAAGAAAAAATTTTTGCGTAGAAGGGTTTTCAATGATCGGATGAAGATGAAGGAATAAAATTGGGCTCTTCCGGTCGCATTCTCGAAGCTCCGAGAGGTGTTTGAGAAGGGGAAAAATTGGAGCAACAAGAGAGAAATGGAAATATTCTCAAGAAGATATTGATAAAGTTGGAGGATTGGGGTGATGTTGATGGATCAATGATCGAATTTCTGTAAAGATAAATGCAAAATCAGTCTTTGAATTACTGATGCATTTCAGTGTGCGGAAATTTCGGTTTTAAGGACAAACAACAAAGGCTTTGCATTTTTGGACATTCAGAGTTGCATTCAATTTGGATATTCAATTCAAATATGCATTTGAATCCGCCAAAATATCGAACAATATGGTCTGAAAATTCAATAAGTGAGAAAGCCATGACTTGATCAAGAGATTTTTGGAATTCTCTCAAAACACTCCCCAAAAATTTGTTAATATTCGCTGATAATCTTCAAGAATGGACAATATTTTAGTGAAATTAGAAAAAAAAACAATTCTCGTGGAGAAAATCGGCTTTTGAGAAAAAAAGGAACTCACAAAAGCTTGCCTAATCCGGGCTGGCCAACCCCTGTGAAAAGGCGCTGCAATCTTGGTGCTGAATCGGGGGAAATTTTTGAAAAGAGCTCGAGATGTAAAGATTTTTTCGGATAGAAAACTAGCATGTTTGGAAATGGGAAAAAGAAATGACTTGCAAAATGGACATGAGCGTTGATAAAGGGATTACAAAATAGAAAAAAAAATTGGTGGAAAACAAGGGCAAATTTCAGGAAACAAGCCTGCAATTTGAATGAACAAGTCAAATTTCTGGATGTTTAGATAACAATTTGAAAGCAATAAAATTCTTGAGAAGACTTGGGAATGGGTAGAAGAATAAAATTAAAATAAAACTCGTTAACTCACCGCGTTGCGTTGCGTAAACTATCGTAGACTTGCTTATCGATCAAGTTAGTGTCAAATAGAAATCATCGATTAGCTGAGATTTCTAGTATTTGAGCTGTTTGCGTATTTTTTTACCGTAATCCATTTCCTATTCTGTAACAACTTTGAGTCTAGTTTAGGAGGAATGATTGTGAGACATTTGATCCACGCCCCGTCCTTTTGCCATTAGCAATCTAACTTTGAGCTCAAATATCTTGGCTTTGGACTGCTCAATTTAAATATCCTTGGTATCACTAGATGCGCCAAGTCTTTCTCTGTCGATTGGTATAAAAACTATTTAAATTGGACACCCCAACAGCAAGATATTTGAGCTCAAAGTTAGATTGCTAATGGCAAAAGGACGAGACGCGAATAAAAGGTCCCACAAATGTTCGATAACTTTCGAAAGCTGGTCTTGGTGTTGGGCGGTCCAATTTAAATAGTTTTTATACCAATCGACAGAGAAAGACTTGGCGCATCCAATGATCTCAAGTATGTTTAAATTGGACAACCCAACACCAAGATATTTGAGTTGATAGTTAGAGTGGGATGCGCTAACTTCGAGCTCAAATTTCTTGGTGATGGATTGTTCAATTTCGATAGTTTTTGTACCAATCGATAGAGAAAGAGTTGGCGAGTCTAATGATATCAAGAATGTTTAAATTGGACAACCCAACACCGAGATATTTAAGCTCAAAGTTGCTCAAAGCAAAATGACGGAGCGTGGATCAAATGGAGGAGGAACGTTCTATAGAAAGTAGTAACAAAACTTAATTGGTAGACTTTCTGTTAGACAGTTCAACTTTCGTTGAATTCTGATATACATTTGACTCAGCTCGGTCACATTTCACTCGCAAAGCTGCAATCTTGGCAAATCAGGAGCACTTCAAAAAAGGCCTGGGACATAAAGATCCCTAGATAGAAGTGTAATTAGACAAAGCAAAGAAAAACGACTGAATTTCAGATTTTTAGATGGAAAACGTTAAAAAACGGCAAAACGACCGAACTGGACTGGACGGGGGGACAAATCTGACGCACACACGAGGAGGGGAGCCCCGGGGGAAATAGAGGGGACCCCCCTTCCTCCCTTCACGACACAAATCCCTTATCTCGTCTCGTTGTGCCTTATCCTTTAGCGGCACTTCTTCGACTTGTTCTCTTCTCCTTTTTCAGATGTCTTTGAGTGAATTTTGTGAGTTACTCTTTTTTTTGGGAGAGTCATAAGATAATAAAAGAGACTGAAGCTTTAGACCTTTATACTTGCTTAGAGGAGGGTAGAGTTGGTAACTAACTCCCTTACCTAACGCCTTTAGACTTATCAACCCTTTCTAAAATGATTTAGCATGAAACCCAAGAAGAAAATCGTGAAGATGAATAACAAGATCAATAGCAAGAAGATCGCGATGTGGCAGAATATTTAGATTTGCGTTTATAGTTAAAAGGAATTGATTAAGTTGAGTTTATACGGCATTTGTGAACGGATTTCAAACAATGGAGTGAAAGGAGTCGAAAAGAAAACGAAATAAAACCGTATTAGAATTTTAAACAACAAACTATGGGCAAATAATATTAAAAGGAGGGAATGACGAGAGAGAGTACTTTAAAAAGTCGCTAGAAAAACATAATAGATTTTACGAAGGGCGGAAGAAAACTTAGCGGGACTCATAAAAACCGGACAAAGTTTCCGACCTACATCATGGAGTGAAGGAAAATGAAAAGAATGGGAGAAGAGGAATTTTGCTTTCCCCCGGATTGGGTCGAGTCGGGTAACTAAACCGACGCTCAAAAACAATCCGTCCTCAATTACCCGATCAAATAATTAAAGCAAAGCAAGGCCTTTCATTCGAGCGACTGATGAGTGATTGGTTGAAGGTTTCCATTTAAAAATTAACGAATTAACTAGACAAAACCGGTCAATAGATTTTTACTTTAAAAAAAGCGAGAGAGAGTACTTTAAAAAAGGAGCTAAACCATAACGAGCTAAACAATACTACAAAAACATCATAGATTTTACAAAGGGAGAAGAAAAGACTCGGCATAAAAGCCGAACAAAGTTTCCGATTCCATGGAATAAAGGAAAATAAAACGAATGGCAAAAGGGGATTTTTGTGCGCGGTACGGTAGCGCATCCATGCTTTAGAAAGCGCGCCGCGCCGCTTTTGCGTCAGTCCCTTAAAACCGCACAGCAATGTCAATAGGAATCTAATTTTAAAACAAATTGCACCTACAAATCTTGATTTCTCAGAATTTAAGACTTTAAGACACAAAAGTTTAAGAGTTGATTTAATTTGGTGATTCCAAACGAAATCCAAATCCAAAGCGAGGTAATTTGGAGATTTCTGAGCGATTTCTGATAGACTTGCTGACTGGTAAACTGGTTTTAGGAAATTTTCCAAGCTCAGGAAAATTTGATCCAATCATTTAGGCCATTCAGATAAAATCTAGACCAAAAACAGACTAAAGAAGCCAAAAAGAAAAGCAAAGAGAAAAGCAAAAACAGTTTGAATCATAATGAAATTAAGGGAAATTTTGTTCATTCTTAATTCACAAAACTCCAGAGATCACAATGATTGAAGGTTATGATTTGAGAAGGATTTGAGGAGGATTTGTGAAACATTTTAGAAGGATTTGAGTTTTGTTATTTATTAAGTTCAGGGTAAAAGCTTTTAAATAGATAATCGATGATTAAATTCGGCTGACTAGTCAAAGAAGGCATTCGTTTTCCTTAAAATTTATTGATCTTTGTTGATCTTTGTTGATCTTTGTTGATTTATTGATCTTTGTCTCTTTGTCTTTGTCTAATTTGTCTACAAGACAGGGCAAAGGAAGGAAGCTGCGGAAAAGAAAGCTGCGGAAAAGAAAGCTGCGGAAAAGGAAGCTGCAGAAAAGGAAGCTGCGGAAAAGAAAGCTGCGGAAAAGAAGCTGGGAAAAAGAAGGCAGAAAGGGCGAGAAAAGAGCTGCAGAAAAGAAAGCTGCGGAAAAGGAAGCTGCAGAAAAGGGAGCTGGGGAAAAGGAAGCTGCAGAAAAGAAAGCTGCAGAAAAGGAAGCTGCGGAAAAGAAAGCTGCAGAAAAGGAAGCTCTCTAGACTTCTCAATAACAGATCAGAAAAAAAGAAAAGTAATTCCACAATTCCACAATTTCACAATTCATTCATGCAAAAAAGTGAACTATATATAGAGATTTTGGGTGTAGAAAAGGAGATGGAAGTGACATGTCTTCTTAATTGAACTCTCGTTCTTTTCCACTCCTTTTCCCCATTTAAGACTTCCTCATTTCTTCATTTCTTCACACTCAATCATAATGAATTTCATTTTCTTCTTTTCCTTCTTTCTTTTTCTTCCTTTTTTTCAGTTTCTTCCTCAAATTTCTTTCATTTCTTTCATTTCTGTCATTTCTTTCTTTCATTTCTGTCATTTCTCTCCTTTCTTTCTCTCATTTCTCTCATTTCTTTCTTTCATTTCTTTCATTTCTTTCTTTTATTTCATTTAAAAGCTTCAAATTCTTGTAATTGTAACAATTCTTGGAATCTTTCTTGGAATCAAGATTGATTGCCACTTTTGATGACCTTTTGGTGTTGTGAATTTGTTGAAAAAATTGAAATTGATGGATTAAAATTGGTTTTTCACAAAGGTGACAGATAAAATTTGTTTCCAATTCTTTCAAAATTCCCAATTTTCAGACAAGATTCATGAGTAGAGTCTAGAGAAAATGATGGTTGTCGAGGAGAATGAAAGAATTTCAAAAATGAGCCAATTTTTTTAAAGGAAAATTTGCAAAAAGGAACTTACTTAAAGGTACTTCTTAAAGATACTTACTTAAAGGTACTTACTTAAAGGTACTTACCTAAAGGTACTTACTTAAAGATACTTACTTAAAGATACTTACCTAAAGGTACTTCT